TCTTCTCCACTCTATCTCATACTCCCCTCTCTTCCTGTCTCAGGATGGTACAGCCCCAGCCCCCCAGGCTCAGCTCAGCAGAAGGGTGATGTACCAGTCCCCTGCCTTTGGGGCTAGACTTCTAAAGACCAGGTCCAGATGACTGCTCAAGCCTAGACACAAACAATCTTTGAGAAAAGGTTAAAAGGCTAAAGAAAAAGGGGTCAGGGGTTAACATTATAACCCTCAATGAGACTCAATAAAGGCTGGCTGGCTGGTTTTCAGCTCAAAGGAGAAAACATGAGAAGAGATGGGCTTTCCAGCAGAGAAAATGTCAGGAGAACTTCCTGCTGTGCACTGCTTTGTTTTGTCTACTATGTGCTTGGCCCTGTGCTGGGCACCGAAGAGGCTTGCAGAATGATGAAACAAGATCAGAAGTTTTAATTCCAGACAATCTGTTCCCTTGGAATGCTGGGGCTGAACAAGGAGGCTGTGGCAGTCCCTCCTTCTCCATCCCATCCTCTTAAGAGCAAGGGCTTTAGAAGTAGAACCAAGTTCAACTTCTGGCTGGGTACCTGGGCAAACCATGAGCCTCTGTGTGTCTCCTCTGTGAAGTGAGAAGAAAGAACTCCAGCCTTTTAGGGTGTTGGGATAACTTGGGGGGACAGGCTATGAGGTACCCAGCACAGTGTCTGGCAGTGTATAAACACTGTAAGCAAGGTTGCCACTGTTGTTTTCACAATGACAGAAGAGGTGAGGAAAGCCTAGGAACATATGACCACTGGGCCCCCTCAGCATGCATGCCAAAGAGGGCAGAGGTGACCTGAGGCACCCGAGCCAGACATCACGTTTTAAGCCAGGTCCTAAGCCAGAGCACAGTCAAGGAATCAGATGAAAACTGCACTTCTCTTTGGAAACCTGCCTTAGGGCCTCTGTCCTTGCTCTCCCTGGCAGTGAGGAGGTTGCCTTGGGGCTCTCTCCATCTCAGCTCTATCCACCACCCCTAACCCGCTCCCTTACAGGCAGCTTGTTTACCTAGGCGGCCCTGGGCCCAAGGCCCCTTCCTGCTGTCTGTCTGCTCATGGCTGTATCTTTTGTCTCCCAACCAAGGCAAGTTCCGGGAACAGTTTAAGGCAGCCTTCTCCTGCTGCCTGCCGGGCCTGGGTCCCTGCAGCTCTCTGAAGGCTCCCAGCCCCCGCTCCTCTGCCAGCCACAAGTCCTTGTCCTTGCAGAGCCGGTGCTCCGTCTCCAAAATCTCTGAGCACGTGGTCCTCACCAGCGTCACCACCGTGCTCCCTTGAGCAAGGGCTGCCCTGGAGGCTCCAGGAAGTGTAACCTGCTCTCTGCCAGACTACTCCCTGGCCCCTGGGGATATGCCCCCCATCAGACCCCCTGTGAGGGCAGGCAGCTGTGCTGTGGATTGCTGGATGAGTAAAGCCAAGCTTCAGTCCTAGTCTTCTGCCTGTGTGACTCTAGACAGTCACTTCCATCTCTGAGCTTGTGTCCCTGAGGCAGAGTTGATGCGATTGCATATGCTCAAAAACATGAAAAGCTCTTTGTAAACTGTAAAGTACTGTGGACATGATTATCGCATATTCCTCTCTCGGCCATGCCCCACAGTATCATCCATCGACATCATTCCTTCCAGAACTTGGCCTTCCTCCCAAAGACCCCTCTCCTACCAACTACAGGCCTTCCCTGGAGTCTGCTGCAAAGGCCTCAGCAGGCATTTCCATCTGGCCCAGTGGCTCCCTAAAACCCAGAGCTACACTTCCCCAGCCACTCAGATACCTGTGTGGACGAATCCAGCCCTTCTCCAATGGTAGCATGAGTACAACCCTCCCTTACCGGAAGCCCAAGTGCACACACCATAGCTGGACCCTGTTGGCTTTGTGACGTGACAGAACGTGCTCCATGTGGCCATTTGGCATGGAGGCCAGCAGCCGAAAGCAACTGTAATTAAAAGCCTGGCACTGAATGTTCCCTTTCCTTGTCATTGCACAGAATCTGTGCTGCTTAGGTTAGGAACAGAGGAAGGTAGGAAGCCGGGGGCAGGGAAGAAAAGAAACACTGAAATGCTATTATCTGCTCACTACCCCCACCAACCCCCTCGCATCCCAGTGGATTCATAGCCAAGCCTCGGAGCACACGTGTGCTGCCTCCTCACGCAGTGCCCACCCTATGATGCCCAGGACCTTGGTTCTCAACAGTCAGTCTGCTCCCTGGCCCAATGGCCTCCAGAGATGGTAAGTTGTGGGTGGGGAGATGTGTAAACAGCAGGATCAACAGGCTGATTTACTGTTATCTTCACCCTCTTGGAAGTCAGGGCTGGCATTTATTTTCTATGAACTCACGGGATAAAAAGAGAAAGCCATACAGACTTGGCCAGACGTGCGCCGTCTGCCACCAGGATGATTAGAGGGCTGCCGGAGGCCCTGATCCTTGTTGCCAGAGCAAGCGGCCAGGGCGCACGGTCTGAAGTGCTGCTCTGCTGAGAGGAACTGAGACATCTGGCAGGAGTCAGGCAGACCCGTGTGCACCGCCAGGTCTGCTTAATTTGATTAATGGGGCTTCAGGCTCCCTCCAATCTCACCTGCTAAGAAGGGGGGTCAAAAGCACTGTCCTGCCAGGGGGGCATCCTGCATTCCTGGCACGTGTGGGAGTCGTGGTCCATGTATGTCACTCCCTCAGGATGACACAGCAGTTCAACTCTTTGTGGGCTGCTGTCATCATTTCCAGGTGCCTTTCCCATTCCGCTCTCTCACTGGCCTTAGGACCCAAAGCCTTTATAGAGGCCACAGTCAGACTCGGAGGTGCCACATGTGGTGAGGTGTAAGGGCCGGCTCCCAAGCTCAGAACCAACCATGTCCACAAGAGCCAACCCAGGTCCTGGGCTCCTCAGCCTCAGCTGAGCCCAAGGGCAGGGTGCGAAACTATGGTTGTCATCCTTCTAAAGAAAGCTTTCAATAGACAATTGGTTCAATGTGTACAAAAATGCAACAGAAGTTTCTCCAATGGCCACAGTTCTACTATACCCTCTGCTGGTTAAACCAAGCACCACGGTGGGCCTTAGGCACCTACTTTAAGCACTCAGATGAACTGGAGAAAATTCAGGGGAGGTGACCAGGAAGGTGAGAGGAACTAAAACCTTGTTCAGTGAAGAGTCGCTGAAGAGCCCAGGGCTATCTCACCTAGGGCGGGGAGAACTTGGGAAAAATATGGTAGCAGTCTCCAGGTATCTAGAGGCTTGGTGGAAAGAAATGGGTGAAGTATATTCTGGGTGACCAAGGAGAGAAAACCAGCCGATGGGTAGTGGTTTCAAAGTGCCAGGATTTAGAATTCACAGGAAAAAATTTCTACCAGTCATGGAGGAAGTGGGCTGCCTGGAAAGGCGCCGAGTTCTCTGTCATTGGAGGTTGGCAAGCAGAGGCCGGACTCACAACGGGGGCCCAAGGAGAGGATTCCAGCTCCGTATATGGGCTGCCCCTGGGAACTGGATTCCATCTCATTCTGCAATTCTAATACTACAGTCCAGAGGAGAACAGGGCTGAACTGGTGGAGCCTAACCTACCTGCTGGGCTTCACTCGGCAGCAAAATAGTTAGAGCTGCTTCCTCCAACCACTCACTGCAGGAACAGGAGCCCAGCTCAGGGCCTCAAGCTCTTATCTGCATCTCAGAAAGCCAAAGGATAATCAGACCATTCCCCATAAGGCCCCCAGGCAAACTAGAATATCTGGTCTCTTGGCTTTTGATTGAAATTATGTCGGCCCACTGTAGACACTTGGTGTAGACAGGTTATCATGCTGATCTGAAGCTCCAACTGGCAAGTACATCTCTCTGTGCTTAATAAAGATGAGAGGAAAGTTACAACCTAATAAATGCAGTTTGTCTGGAAGATAAAGCCAGGGCCTGAGTTAATAAAAAGGGCATGCTGTGAAAAGTCTAGGGTGACTGCTCATGTGCCTCCGGTCCAGAATGCCAGCCACAACACTGCTATGATATAGTCTGCTTCTGGAGCTGACTTCAGGCTGCACTGACCTGAACCTGGCAGGCCCTCTGGGCAGCCTGCTGCCCTACACTTCGACTTCACCCTAGCAAATGAGAGCAGCTCCATTTAGACCATGACCTCCCAAGTACGTTCCTTCCTAAGAGTATAGTATACAACATGTACTTACATATTCATTGAACGAAAGAATAAATGAAGAATGTATGAACCTGTGGCTGAGAAGGAATGACAGAAAACGTGGAACTCCAGAGTGTCATTCTTTTATTGAAGCTGACAGTTTCACTGGACTTTTGGCCCAAAAATTAAAAAAACAGCAAAAAAAAAAAAAAGGCAAAAATTGGCTGCAGGAGGTGGCAACTGTCCCCTGGGGACTGAAGCCAAACATGGCAGGCAAGTGAGAATCCAAGCTGGGAGAGCAGTAGCCTGGCCAAGGACACCCAGAGAGCAGGTTGTCCAAGTTTCCCGAACAGGAACAGCCTCCAGGCAGCTAGAATTAACACAGGACTCGTGGGCGTGGGTGGTGGTAATGGTGACATCAAACACATTGGTCCCGTGGGCAAACCTCTCTCATGCATGGTCAGATTCCACTTTGGAGAAATTGAGCTCATCTGATAGGACAGCATGGCTGAGGGAACATAGGTGCTAAGAGTGTTTTGAGTACTTCCCACTGGTGTCAAGGTGGAAAAGGAAGAGCTAGAGGCCTGGGCTCAGCTGTCTGGACCCTAAATCCACTGCAGTGACTGGCATCTTCTGCTCCTGGTATAAGGTTCTGCCATTTAGATGCTCAGGGCTGTAAGGACATTCAACAACTAGTCCTTTCCTCAAGTCTGTGTGGTCCCATTATTTGGTGGCTATGACACAGGACCACCAGCCCTCTTTGGAAACAGTGCGGCACCAGGCAAGGGAGAATGTTTTTCTAGGAAGGGCAGGAAAAGGAGAGAGGCCCACATGCTTCTCCCACTCTAGGGAACCAGGAAAGGTCCCCAGTGTACGCCACGCTATAGATGGGCAGGATCAGAGCATCCGAGAGGCTGTCATGGTGACGAAGTCCTCAAAGCTGAGCCGAATGTTGCCCTGTACAGCTGTGTCCTTCTCCCTGAAGGCCTCAGTCATTACCTGCAGCTGGGTGCACACCTGGATGAAGCGGTCCAGCTGCATGGAGGGACTGGCAGAGCGTGGGCAGTAGCGGGAGACCAGGAGCTGGGTGAACTGGGGGCTGAGGTTGTAGCCCATGTGGGACAGAGCTGGAGAGGAAGGGTACACAGAGTAGATACACAAAAACCCGCCATGAGCACCTCCACTGACCAGCTCCACCACAGCACAGCCACTCAGGGAGCTTTGAGGGGTTCAGCACAGAAGCATAAAGAGGACAGAAGTCCCAAGCAAGGGTCTGTCTAAGATGTCAAGGGCATATCAAGAACTCTATCTGGATACCCCCTAATCTGGCAGGCCCCCATCTTTCTTTCTCCAAATCTCCACTATTTTCCATTTAATCAGGGAATCCTGGAGTCCCAGAGGTAACACTGTTCTCTCTGTGCTCATCTGACTCATTTGCATTATAGAGGAAGCCGGGTGCCCTAACACCATGGCCAGGATGGACATCAAAGGCAGTGCAGCTTCGAGCCAAGAGGGCCTGTTCTGCAGTCAGTCTCTGGGCAAGTCGGGTAACCTCATTATCCTTGTCAGATCATCTCTAAACCAGGGATAATACTGACACTGAAGCTTCTAGTAAGGATTAAATGAAGTGATCATGTAAAGCACTTGGCACGGTACCTGGCACATAAACACTGAGTAAATGTTACTTGTTAAAAATAATAAGATCATCATCATCTCCCCAGGTGGGGCTGTGGGCAGTTCCAAGGTCACAGCCCACTGCTGCTCCCCTGTCCCTCCACCTGGGACGCTTCCTTCCTTCCTCTCTGTCCAACTTATCAGCCCAGGTAGTATCTCAGCTCCTACTTGATTTGTGGGCCTTTGGGCAAGTTCCCTACACTAAGCCTCAGTTCTCATCTGTAAAAGGATAATAAGAAGTAATTCTTCATCAAAGGGTGTGGAATTATAAACAGTACTTAGCTGACAGGAAGAATGGATTATGTAACACATGAAAAATGCTTATTTCAGAGCCTGGCATAGAGCAAGCATTCAATAAATATTAGTTATGGTTGTTGTTAATATTACCTTTACCAATATTTGTGAAAGGACTCAGCAAAAGACTAGATGATCAGAGTCATCTCCTCTTCCTTCTGCCAGGGGGGCAGATATGGTGAGCTCATCCCCACCCTCAGACCCCCTTACTCTGACTGAAGTCTGCAGTCGGCTGGGTGCTGGGTCTTCTGGGAAGCCCATTCTCCTTCCCAGGTGGCCAAGGCTCCCGTCATGTCCTCACACCATCTACTCACTGGACTGGGCTGAGCCTAGGCTGCAGAATCTAGCCCTATAGAATCTGAACCAGAGCTGTGACCTCTGCTCATCTTATCCAATTGCAACTTTTTTAAGTGGTCTGGGTCCCTGAGTTGCAAAGGAACCTGCCTTGCAGCAGAGCCGGCAACAGAACCCCATCAGTCTGGGTCCCTATGCAAGGCTCTTTCCATCTACATGCTAGAAACTGGAGAGGAAAGTGCCACACAAGCTATGCACACTGGTCTCAAAGTGCATTGTGGTGCCAAGTTCCTATACCTAAGGATCCCTGCTGGCTGGGACTATCTCACCTACCACTGCTAGAAGTTCTATCACCATGTAGTCCAGCCCTGATTTTGAACTCAGGTGTTTTCTTGCCCTAGACCTTGGTTCAACACCCTAGCCACGTCATAGAAGAGGCTAGAAGTGGGCTTGCACTGAGGGCAGCCTTTTATAGTGCAGCTTGGACATTCTGGAGTAGAGGCTAGAGAAACCCCCCTTGCTTTTGTCTTAGGGAGAGACCAGTCTAGCTCTGTCCTGCCCACCACGCCGCTGCCGCAGCCCCCACCTTGCTGCAGCTCCGTGTAGCTGATGGAGCCGGAGCGGTCCCGGTCATACTGCTGGAAGAGGTTCTTCCACTGCTGGATGAACTTCCACAGGGCTGAGAAACCGTAGACATCGATGCGGCCTGACTTGGTCTTATCAAACATATCTGAGCGAAAAATGGGACAGGAGGGGAAGGCAACTTCAAAACTGAGGGCCAAAGTCACTAAGGCAGCCCTTCTCCCCAGGCTGGAACAGGAGACATCCACAGAATCACAGGCCTTAGGCCCAGATCCCTTGTACCCAAGATATATCCTCACCAAGTGCTGCACCTCTCCACCTCAGCCGCCCTCCAGCCCCACCCTATCCAAAGTTATGTACAGAATTCCCTCTGCAGCATTGTGGCGGTTCAAACCCACCAGCCACTCCTCAGAAGGAAGGTTGGGCAGTCCTACTTCCGTAGTGATACTGCCTCGGAAACCCAAGGAGGGGTCGCTATGAGTCAGGTTTGACTCGACGGCACATAACAACAACAACATCATTGTTAGCTAAGCATCAAGATCCTGATCTGTGCTGGCCCACTCCCTGTCATCTCCTTCAGTGCAGGGAATCCCATTTTGCAGAATGGGAAACTTGAGTCTGTGGTATAGCAGGGTCTAAAACTTGAGAAAATCTGAGGGATAGAGCTCTCTGTCCAGGCAATTTCACCTTGAGCATGGCTTCTCCTTGAAACCCTCCCTAGCCAAAGGAATAGCCACCAACCCATCCACTGTCAGCCCTCAGGCAGCTCTGCCCAACCCAGCCATAGGGAGGGCTGGGACTCACTGATCATCATGAGGCACGTCTCATCATTGAATGAGGACCAGTTGGAGTTGACCAGAGCCTGCTTCAGCTCCTTGATGGAGATGTAGCCACTGTGATCGGAGTCCACTGACTGGAACCAGGAGTAGGCCTCTGGATCCACATTGGGAGGGGCACCACCTACAGGAATAGGTGCAAACAGGGGAGTCATACGCAGGTCTCAGGGGCAACAGAGGCAACTCAGAATGCTGGGAAGGGCAGGCCTCAGTGCCTCCTTGGCTACTGTTTCCCCATCCACAAAGCCTCACAAATCCACCTACCTCCTGCCTTCATCGAGCCCACAACCTTACTCTGGTGGCAGACAGCCTTTGGTGTAGACTCATGAGTATTTACAGTTGATTTTTTCAGGCTTTTACTATACTTCTCTACTTGATTTTAAGTTTCTAAGGAACAGGAGGAGTCCCTGGATGACACAAACAGTTATGCACTTGAGTCTTACCCAAAAGGCTGCAGGTTCAAATCCTCTCAGAGGTACCTCAGAAGACAGAACTGGCAATCTCCCAAAAGGAAACAGCCTTGAAAACTCCACGGAGCACAGTTCTACTCTGCACACATGGGGTACCACAAGTTGGAACTGACCTGAGAGCAACTAACAACAGTGAACAGGGACTTCTCCCCCCTCCAGTAGCAAAGACATTCTCTGAAAAGGAGAATTTTATTTTCTTCACAGACTAGGGGCACAAAAACATTTGTTGAACACCTAACATGCACAGCCCAGAAACAACTATTTCAGGAGTCACAGGAATTGGGAACTCTCTGAGGTGAGAACCACGCCTTGCCCATTCCTGATTTCCCTGTACATAACACAGGGCCTGGCACAGTGGATATGTAACATCTTCTATTAGGAACTGCAAGGAGCTCTGGTGGTGCAGTGGTTAAGGGAGTCAGCTGCTAACCAAAAGATCAACCATTCAAACCCACCAGCCACTCCACAGGAGGAAGATGAGGCAGACTGCTTCCATAAAGAGTTATAGCCTTGGAAACCCTATGGGGCAGTTCTACTCTGTACTGTAGGATTGCTATGAGTCAGAACCAACTCAGTGGCAGTGGATTTCGAGTTATTAGGAGTCGCCAGAACGTGGGTGGCCCTCAAGCTCCACCTTTCCTCCTTCCCTATCATCTCTGATGCATGCCCCATCTCCAAACCTTCCTGCAGACATCTTTGACACATTCCTTGTCCCAAACATCCACACAGCTGCCCATATTCTGTCAGTTCCGTCCACAGGTATCTCCTCCTCCCTGTTCCCACTGTGCTGCCCTGCTGCATACACCTCCCACCTGGACTGCTATAACAAACATAAATCCTCACCAACTAGTCCTTGTAGCTATCCTCCGCCATCCTTCACTTGCTTCAAGAGTAATCTTTGTAAAATCTCTACTCTTATCAATTGCTCCCCACCTCAACTTAAAACTCTTTCAGAGGCTCTCTGCTGCCGACAGCATACAGTCCAGCATCCTCATGATAGCATTCAAGAGCCCCCAAAGAGCTCCACCCTTGTCTGCCTCTCCAGCTCCACCACCCACTCTATCTCCACAACAGCCCCCTCCCAACTCTGTTCCAGGCCCACTGAGGTGTTGTCAGTACTTGCTCTTACCCATACACACCCTGCACACTCCCACTCCAAGCCTTTGTTCACCCTGCTCCCTCAGCCTTGTGCCCACTTCTCTCTCATCTCCTGGCATCCATTTCCCATCCATCCTTCAAGGCCTGAATAAAATGCTGTTACCTCCATGAAGCCTTCCTCATTCTTCTCTCAATGAACATACCACCTTGGTCTGTCTTCTGCACCCCACCCCCTCACCTCTCATGGCCCGTACCACTCTCCACTGTGTACATGTCTTTCCATCTCCTCCCAGGTGGGACATGGACAAGTTGTGGGTACGATCCCAGCCTAACTCATCTCCAGATTCCCAGGACCTAGCACAGAGCTGGGCACAGACAGGGAGGATGCTCAGTTTGTGTGCACTGAGTGTCTGAGCACTGATTCTGGAGCCAGCTTCAAGGTTCAAATCCCAGCTCCCCCATTTTGTGTCTTGGTTAAGTTACCTTCTCTGTGCCTCACTTTTCTTATCTGTAAAATGAGGGCAACAGCAGCATCTACCTCATGAGGTGACTGTAAAGATTAAATGAGTTAATTCATGAAAACTCTTATATCAGCACTTGGCACAACCTAAGTTCCATATATAACTGTTGATTATTACTGTTTGTTGTTGTTGTTATTTGCCGTCGAGTCGGTCCCGACTCATAGCGACCCCTCCATGGGTTTCCGAGGCAGTATCACTACGGAAGTAGGACTGCCCAACCTTCCTTCCGAGGAGTGGCTGGTGGGTTTGAACCGCCAGCCTTCTGGTTAGCAGTCAAGTGCCTTAGCCACTATGCTACCAGAGCTCCTTATTACTGTTTAGTCTTGGTTACAGTAGCTTTGCGTGTATGTAGGGAGGTGGCAGAAAGGTGTATTCATTTGGAAAGATGAGCAGGGGTGGATTGGGAGATAGGGGAGAAGGTGGTAGACGAAAGTGGAAGAACAGAGAAGACTCTCTGGGAAAAACCCTTCTGACAATATGACCAAAGTTGTTGTTGTTGTTGTTATGTGCCGTCGAGTCGGACCCGACTCATAGCGACCCCTCCTTGGGTTTCCGAGGCAGTATCACTACGGAAGTAGATTGCCCCATCTTCCTTCCGAGGAGTGGCTGGTGGGTTTGAACTACCAGCCTTCTGGTTAGCAGTCAAGTGCCTTAGCCACTATACTACCAGAGCTCCTTGACCAAAGTAGGTGATACAAAGTCTGGCCATTCTCGCTTCCAAGGCTATACTTCTTCCAAGACAGATTTGTTCATTTTTCTGGTATTGGTAAACCTACTGAGTTTACCTATTGGTCAAGCTAATGGCCACAAATGGGCCAGCTTCCCACAAGGAGGTATCAGAGATGGCTGTGAGCAGTTGTGAAGCACAGAAATCAGCACCCAGTCCCAAATGGTGGGGCCAGAGAAGGATCTGCCTGACTGACGGACTGGTCTGACCTTCCTGGAAGGGGAAATCCAGACAGGCACCCACCATCCCAGAAGAGCAGCTGTGTCCTGGCAGGGCAGGTGCCTGTGGCCCTGAGCAGCACAGTTTCCATGACACGTGTGATCTGCTGGTCTGTGCAGAAAGTAAGAGCTTAGGCTTTGGAATCAAAGCAGATGTGGATTCAAATCCTGGCTCGGGTCCTTAGTTGCTTATGTGACCTCAGGCAAAATGCTTCATTTTCTAAGTACCGATCTCCCTTGTCCTAAAATGAGCCCACTTCTCTGAGTTGTGATGATTAAATGACGTAACAGTAAAATAAAGTTCTTAGCAAAGGGCTTGTTGATCAGACACATTTCCACAGAGGAAGGGACATTTCAATTGGGTCTGAAAGGATGACAAGCAATCGAGATGGAGAGAAGAAAAGCACGTGGCAAAGGCAGAGTGTGTACAGAGCACTACAAGCAGTCTCGCGCAGCTGGAAGGGAAGGAAGTATGGCAGACGAGGAGGCCGGAAATGCTCCCTGGCCTTGAGAGCCTCAGGATCTTCCCTGTAGGCAGTGGGGGCCTTTAACGGCCTTTAAGTGGGAAGGGATATGGTCAAGCCTGTCTTGTCAGAGCAGTGGTTCTCAAACTTTATATTCTGGACCCAGTCTGAGGGGTGGTGCTGACACAGGTGTTACATAAATCACACTTTAAGAACCACAACTGCAGGGGTCACCAGCTGCACTGGAGGGGTGGCAATGGCAGCCAGGTGGGAGGAAGCTGCCACAGAGGGTGAGCAGCCACAGAGATTCCTTCTGATCTCAGGCCCTGGAGGTTGCGGCAAGCCACACGATCAGAGGGGTCATTCTCTGCAATGACCTCATGTGAGCTCAGAAACAAAATTTCAAAAGGATGAAGAAATCCACCATGAAGCTGCTGAGCTGAAAGCAAACAGCCAGGAGCTCTGGGCTCTGACAAGATAAATGTCACTGGCTCACAGTGCTCAGAACCCCCAAGGTTTTAGCAGCTCCCTCAGGACCAGGTGCCTGGGTGTATATGCTAAGATGGTGCCGGCTTGCCGGCAGTTCCATCCCCTGGAGGCCTTGCAGGTGCATAGCAGGGGTTCCAAGGGCCCTTGCTGGTAGCTTAGCTTTCCAGAAACAGTCATTCTATGAAGTGGCTGACTGAAATGAGCTCGAGGGGAAGCAAAGACCTAGGCACCCACCTTCTCTGCCCCTCCGAGACTAATCAGAAATCTTCACTGAAGCTGAAGCCCCCGCTGAGGATTTTCTGCTTCTACTGGATCTACAGCCCCCTGCCCCTCTCCCCTAGCCCGTCCAGAATCTCTGCTCTTTATTTTCCATCTCACCCCCACATTTTCCCTCCTGTCTCACCATCCTTTAATAGTAAGGCCCCTACCCTATCTGCTCTCATGTTAAATGCCAACTACCTATTGGTAATCCTTCTTTGGAGAGAATAAGCACTCAGAACATTTTAAACACATAGCTAATAAAAGTGACTTTTTATTAAGTCTTTAGCATGTGTCAGACGCTGTACCCAGTGCTTACCTGCACCTTCTCATTTAATCCTCATTACAACACTGAGGTAGTGGCAATGCCCCCACTGTACAGATGTGAACATGGAGGTCTGAAGAGCCTTAAAGTGAAGTAATTTGATCAAGTCAGTAAGTGGCTTTATCTCAAAGGCCCACTAGAGATATCAACAACTAGAGGACGTCACCCTTCTATATTCAGGGCCAGTTTCCCTCTCACCAAAATGGAGTTTCTTTCCATGGTGGACTGTATTATTGCCTCCAATTATTTGTTAACCCACACTTTCCTGTAAGAGCAATGGATAAAATCCCCAAGCCTCTCCTCAAGGGGCGTATACACTCCCACCCTGTGGATGTCAGGCTTGACTGGGGCACATGCTTTGGCTAACAGAATGTGAGCGGGCAAGGTGGACAGTCCTTCAGAGCAGATGTTCTCAGCAGCACCATGCACTCTTACAGCCCTCCTGCCCTTTTCCTCTGCCATAAGAACAGCACATCCCAAAGAGGGGCTGCTCCTTCAGTCTGGGTCCCAGAACAAAAGGACATGTAGAACAGAACTTTGGTAGTCAACCCATGGCTACAGAAGGGTGTTGTTGTTAAGCGCCATTGAGTTGGCTCCAACTCAGAGACCCTATGCACAACAGAACAAAAACACTGCCCGGTCCTGAGCCAGCTTCACAGTCCTTGCTATAACTGAGCCCATCATTGCAGCCACTGTGTCAATCCATCTCCTTAAGGGTCTTCCCACTTTACGCTGACCCTCCACTTTATCAAGCATGACATGCTTTTCCAGGGAATGGTCCCTTCTGACATGACCAAAGTAGGCGAGATGAAATCTGGCCATTCTCGCTTCCAAGGAGCATTCCAGCTGCACTTCTTCCAGGACAGATCTGTTCATTCTTCTTGGCAGTCCATGGTACTTCCGGTATTCTTCACCAACATCACAACTCAAAATTACCAACTCTTTCATCTTCCTTATTCATTGTCCAGCTTTCACATGCATATGAGGTGACTGAAAATACCATGGCTTGGGTTAGGCACACCTTAGTCTTCAAAGAGACACCTTTGCTCTTCAGCACTTTAAAGAGGTCTTTTGCAGATTTGCCCAGTGCAATACGACATCTGACTTCTTGGCTGCTGCTTCCATGGGTGTTGACTGTGGAACCAAGTAATATGAAATCTTTGACAACTTCAATCTTTTCTCCATTTATCATGATGCTGCTTATGGGTCCAGCTGTGAGGATTTTTGTTTTCTTTGTGTTGAAATGTAATCCATACTGCAGGCTATAGTCTTTAATCTTCATCAGTAAGTACTTCAAGTCCTCTTCACTTTCAGCAAGCAAGGTTGTGTCATCTGCATATTTCAGGTTGTTAATGAGTCTTCCTCCCATCCTGATGCTGCATTCTTCTTCATATAGTCCAGCTTCTTGGATTATTTGCTTGGCATACAGATTGAATAAGTATGGTGAAAGGATACAACCATGATGCACACCCTTCCTGATCTTAAACCATGTAGCATCCCCTTGTTCTGTTCGACTGACAGCCTCTTGGTTTATGCACAGAGGTGTAGGTAAGAATAAATTAAGTGTGAATGAGAAATAAATGTTTGTTGTGTAAGCCAAAGGGATTTTGGGTTGCTGTTACCACAGTAAAGCTAACTAGGAGATCTCTCGTCCTGCTGATTGGCAAGCTAAGGCTGGATATAAGATGTTAAGATACCAGACACCAGGCTGCCTGCATACCACCGAAAGGGTAAGCACAGGAGCTGGATAACTCAGAACCAGGTCAGAGGAACTAGAGTCTAAGACTCCTACTTACCTGGCAGAGGTCCCTGCCCATAAGGGCCAGGCTGTTGGGCACTGTATGAGTTTGGAGGTGGCTGACCATAGGGGCTCCCTGGGGCTGCACCACCATATGGTCCTCCTGGAGTTCCAGAGGGAAGTCCCCCAGGGTTGGGGTGTCCATAGGCTCCTCCACCAGCTGGTGGTCCATAAGGCCCCCCAGGGGCAGGACCCCCAAAGCCGCCACCAGGGGATACCCCACTTCCATACTGCCCTCCACCATGGGAGGGCCTGGGGTAGTAGCTACCCGGTGGGGCTCCGGGTGCTTGTCCTGCAGCTCCTGGGCAGCCCTGTGGGAAAAGTAAGATCTCGGTCAGAATGGTGAGGCCACACACTAACCACAGCTTGGCATTTCCCCTGCCATTCTTCCCACTGATTCTGTAGGCAGGGTGTGGACTTATGATCCCATTGCTCAGAAGGGGAACTTGAGGCTTCTAGAGCAAATATGACTTACCCTTGGTCACACAACCAATGATTTACAGAGGCAGGGCTGAAATCGTATCCTCCTGCCTCCCTTTTTCCACACACCAAGGGGCTCCATGAGGGCTGGGACCGTGCCTGGTTTATCCCCAGCCTTCTAGCACCCAGTGCAGAACGGATGATGCTCAGTAAATACTTGTTGCTGTGTAAGTGAGCAGGCAAGTGAACTGAATAGAATTACAAAGCTTCATCCTGTGGTACCTCAACTTTAGCTGCAGAATCCATAGCACAAATGCACTCTCTACCACACAGCCCCTGATCTTCATCAGTACAATCTCGATGTATCCACAGCATGGACTCACTCAGAGCACATTCCCTACTGCAGCTCACAGAGCTAAAACACTTCCCATTTTCATTCACAGCTCTGTGAGGCAGGCAGGGCAGGCAGGAGAGAGCCTATCCCTCAGGCAATATGGTACAATGGTTAAGAATCAAAATGACCCAGTTAGTTAAGTGGCAGAACTTGTACTGCGTCATTTAACCATTGTACTATATTGCCTTCCAAACCAAACCCACTGCCGTGGAGTCGTCATAGAGACCCCTCCTTGGGTTTTGGAGGTGGTATCACTACGAAGTAGATTCCCCAGCCTTCTGGTTAGCAGTCAAATGCCTTAGGCACTATGCCACCAGAGCTCCCAGGTATAGGCTTACTCTTCCTAAGACTCAGCACCCTCTGCTGTAGGATGGGAATAGTAGTAGTGTCTAAGGCATTTTACTGATAACCAGAAGGCTGGTGGTTCAGACCCACCAGCCACTCCTCAGAAGGAAGATTGGGCAATTTACTTCCGCAGTGATACCACCTTGGAAACCCAAGGAGGGGTCACTATGAGTGGGATCTGACTCGACAGCAATGAGGAGAGCAGTGACTCTCCCTCCCATTGGTACGAGTGAAGTGGATCCAATTATGTGAAGAAACAGTTTAGGACAGGCCCTGACACAGAGTAGGAGCTCTGGTGCCATAGTGCCTAAGGCGTCTGACTGCCAAACCCACCAGCCACTCCTTGGAAAGAAGATGGGGCAATCTACTTCTGTAGTGATACTGCCTCAGAAACCCAAGGAGGGGTCGTTATGAGTCAGATCTGACTCCACGGCAGTGAGTTTGGTTTGGTTTGGTGGCACAGAGTAAGCACTCAATACACATCACCTATTAATAACAGGAGGAAACTCAGGCCCAAAGAAGTCATACAGACTGCATGGAGGGGCAGGCATTGTGCATAAAGCATATATGGGGCATTCCCTCTCTGGGCCTCTCCCCTTATGAGCCAGGCATCCCTGAGGCTCAGAGTGTACGGCTCCATCTTTCTAAGTGGCTGACACTTAGCCTGGGAGAGCACAGTCCCACATATCTGCAGACCAGCTGGGCTCACAGACACAGAGAGCACTGGGGGCTGTACCATGTAGACATGTTCTGGGTCAACCTGCAAGCACATCAGTGGCCTAGCCACGGAGAGCCAGGCCTTTCACTTTTTATTGTGTTTGATAGCTTCTGAAACAGCTAACCTCAAGGCTAAGGCCAAATTCATACAGTTCACTGATAGGCAGGCCCGAGGAAGGGAGGTTTCTTGGGGGAGGGCAAGCAGCAGGGCTTCCACATCCTCACTCAGCATTGTGGGAGCTCTTCCCCCCAGGAAGCTGCCATAGTTAAAAGCAAGATTCCTTCGCAGACAATAAAGTCACAGATAGATCTCAGTTCCAAATCTGCTCTCACCAGCTGAGTGCGTGACCTTGGCCCAGCAGCTTAATCTCTCTGAGGCTGTTTCCTTATAAGGAAAATATAATAACCTCTTCCTCAGTGGACTATTCTGCAGATTACAAGAAATACATGCAGCAGATTTTTGTTACATTAAGTTTAGCCAGAGAATCTTTGTGATTGTTGTTGTTGTTGTTATGTGCCGTCGAGTCGGCCCGACTCATAGCGACCCCTCCTTGGGTTTCCGAGGCAGTATCACTACGGAAGTAGGATTGCCCAACCTTCCTTCCGAGGAGTGGCTGGTGGGTTTGAACCGCCAGCCATCTGGTTAGCAGGCAAGTGTCTTAGCCACTATGCTACCAGAGCTCCTGTCTTTGTGATAAAATAAATAAAATTTATACAGAAAGTTGCTCTGGCCCAGTGGGGGAGGGGGTAGAATCCAGAGCCATGACCATGTGGCTCTACCTTCCTCGCTAGATTCTGAGGGGCTCTGCAAACCCTCAGAGTGCCTCAAAAGACAATCTGAAAACCACTATGATAAGAAAAATAGTCTTTACAACAATGCCTGGCATAAACAAGCAATCAATAAATCACAGCTGCTATTGTTATTATTGTACTAATTATCATCAGCAAAGCCCTAGGCCAGGTAAACTCTGTATGGTAAACTCTATAAAGAGGAGTGAAACATCATCCTAGCCCTGAAGGAGCTCACAGTTAATAAAAGCCTGAAAATAAAAACTCTCTGTAACATCAACGAGTAGCATAAGGCAATTGGTGCTTAAAACAGACATAAGCCAAGGGCCATGGGCTGCAAAGGGAAGAAGGTAAAATTAGGGAGGGTTTATGCAAGAATGTGGCATTTGAGCTGGAATTTGAAGAGTAAGCAAGATTCCCAGGGGTTTGGAGAGGTGTGATGGGAGAGGTACCCAGGAAACAAGTCACCAAACCTCTTAATTTTACAGATGGGGAAACTAAGGCCCAGAGGGAGAAGTCCAAGCCAGACTGCAAGTTGAAGGCAGAGAGGGCCAAGATCCCACCCCAACCCCCATGTGATGACTCCCACTGCCTCCTGTTACAGTGCTCTTGCCTTACACGACAGAGCACAGGATTCCAGTGTAAGAGGGAAAGGCAGATGGGGACTCTACAGAGTCTGGGCACTCCCAGAGCGCAAGCTGGACACCAAGCTAGGAAGTATCTCCTCCATTCCCAGTCCCGTGAGCGAAGCTTTAAACTGTACCTGGCCCCAGCCACCTGAGGCACAGCCCTCCCACCAGAGTAACACCCCGAGACCACAAAGCAGGTACAGCCAGGCAGGTATCTGACCTTCCTGCTACCAAATTCCAAGGACCTGCTGGGCCTGCTGCAGGATGGCAGCAACTAAACCCTTTCCTTTCTTGCTTGAATTAGAGCCCCAGGTACACAGTTTACAAGGCACTTTCACATACACAAGCACCGCTTGCTACATCCTGCCAACAATCCCGACAAAGAAGAGGAAGATGTTAGTAGCTCCATTTTTCAAATGACGGAACCAAGGTACATGGCTTTTAAATGACTTCATTCAGCAAGCACTTTCAGAGTGACAATACTGTGCTAGGCTCTGTGCCAAGCCTGGGCATTCCAAATGAAATGGGGCCCTGCCCTTGAGGGGCCTGCAGATAATTATAACATAGTCTGATCAGTGCCATCAGAAAAATTTACTCATGTTCTATGAAGCAAGCATGGACTGAGGGATCTTTCTGTCTGTTGAGTGAGTGAAATGAGCAATCAAAAGAACAATGCATGAAGTGGGTCAAGGAAGGCTTCCTGGAGGAGGCAGCAGTGACAGTGATACTGAAGCTGGACCTTGAGGCACAGTCATTCCCCAAAAGGCAGGAGGGCAGGGGCATTCCAGGCACAGGGAGAAGAAAACAAAAGCAAAGACCAGTGAGTGGGCACAGTGTGGGGCAGGGATCAAGAAGGTGGTGCAGTATGAAACCAGAAAGACAGGCCCTCTCCACACTCCTCAGCTAAGTACCTCTCCTGTTGCATGTCAGTTAGCTGGTGAGTGATCAGTGTCTGTCTATCCATCTCCCCCACCTGACAGTGAGCTCCACCCAGAGGAAGACACTGGGCCTCATTCGTCACATACCCCAGGGCCCAGCACAGTGCCTGGCACCTGCAAGCCTCCACCAATATTTCAACAAATTAACACCACTCTAGAGTTTGAGCTTTATGCGGGAGGAAACAGAGTGCCACAGAAGCATTTCCAATAGGGGAGGGATGTGATCAGAGCCCTGTTTAGAGAATTAACCAGCGGAGCAGCAGAGGGTGAGCTAGTGGGGGAGGCAGGAACCCAGGTGCCAGGCAGGCAGGGCTTGAACCAGACAGCAGACACAGAGATAGAGAGAACAGGATGGATTCTGAAGCTATTTCAGAGGTAGACTGGGCATGACTTGGTGACTAATTAGATTAGGGAAGAGATGGAAGGGGGAGTGAGGAAAAGGAAGTGTACAGAATGACTCAGGTTTCTAGTTTTGCACAAGTAGATAAAGGAGGAACCATCAACTAAGGCAAAATCCAGGCTAGGGAGGAAGTTTGGGGAGATGGCGGGATGATTCCCAGGGCCACCAAATTGTCAGGAAAGATCCGAACCAGAAATGAAAATGAGAATCCCTCACTCCACGTTGCTCCATCCTACTCCATGCTGCCAATCCTTAGCAGAGTTTTTCCAAAACTATTTCATGCTGATAAACACAAGATTGGAGGGAGAGGAGACAGGAAGACAAAGAGTTCAGTAATCATGGTTTTCAAAGCACCATCCCCAGGTCTTTAGCAAGGAGCATGGTAGTGCAATGGTTAAATGCTCAGCTGCTAACTGAAAGGTGGCGGCTTGAACCCACCTGGTGGTGCCACAGGAAAAAGACCTGGCAATCTGCTCCCATACAGATTACAGTCTAGAAAACCCTATGCGGCAGTTCTACTCTGCCACATGGGGTCACTAGGAGTCAAAATTGACTCAGTGGCACCTAACAACAAAAACAGGTGCTTTAACTGATTAGAAAAAAAGCTACATTCAATATATTGGTGATGAGAGGAGTAGGGAAGTGGCCATTAACATATACTGAGCTTCTGCTAAGTGCT